TGGTAAATGGCCTCTATTTGATGTAGCGCCTTCTAGAGTCCTGGAACCCCTCAAGGCACTTTACAACAAAATCAGTCATTCACCCATTCACACACACATTCACACGCTGGTGGAGATGAGCTACAATGTAGCTACAGCTGCCCTGGGGCGCACTGACAGAGGCGAGGCTACCGAGCACTGCCGCCACCAGTCCCTCCGACCACCACCAGCAAGCAAGGGGGGTAAAGTGTCTTGCCCAAGGACACAACGACAGTGACAAACTGAGTGGACTCAAGCCTTCAACCTTCCGATTATTACCTGTGCCACCATTTGTATGGATGCATTCTTTAGCGCACAGATGTTATTGATCTAAAAATGATTTCTGCAGGAAATAATGGAATGAGCAAAGAGATCTGGAGATCAAATAAAAGCAAGCAGAGATTTTTTTCAAAAGTAACCTCGTTTGGATAACATGGAATCGTCACTCTGACTCAAATGATGTTTTTACAACAACCGTTTGAATTATTTTTATGCTGTGCGAGGTGTCCTTGTTGGTGTAAGAGTGCAGGTATTGTTTGTGTTACACACACACAAACACACACACACACACGCGCGCGCACACACACACACACACACACACACACTTAACAAAAATATAAACGCAACACCTTTGTTTCTGCTACAATTTTTCATGAGATGGACTTAAAGATAGATAGTGGAGAAATGAACATTCAGTGCACAAGCATCAGATCTGGTTGACATTCCTGCTGTCAGCATGCCAATTGCACACTCCCTCAAGTTATCTGTGGCATTTTGCTGTGAGACAGAACTGCAAATTCCAGGGAGGCCTTTTATTGTGGGCAGTATAAGGTACACCTGTGCACTACTCATGATGTCAGATCAACATCTTGATGTAGCACACCTGTGAGGTAGGATGGATTATCTCAGCAAAGCACAGGTGCTCACTATCACACATTTAGACTGATTTGTGAACAATGTTTGAGAGAAATGGTAATATTGTGTATCTGGAATGAATTTTAGATCTTTAAGTCCATCTCATGAAAAATCGGAGCAGAAACAAAGGTGTTGTGTTTATATTTTTGTTAAGTGTGTATGTATATATTTATTTTTGACATCTTCTTAGAGGAATTCCTCTTCAGCACGACGCATGACCTTGGATGAACAGGCTAACGGCTAGTTTGAGCAGGTTGCAAGCGGCCATTGTTCTTACAAGGTAGTCTGAAAGGTTTAATTTTAGCAACTCTAAATGAAACATAGGCCAATAGGGTAACAGACCCCGCTCATTATTTGGCAAAAACCTGGTCTCTTTTAGGTATTTTTTAATGATTTATAAAGTATTAACAGTTTAACGAATAAGGTATCTATACACTATTTATTCACTTTTTATAAGGGAAACTACCATAGTGTCTGTCAGCTCCTCTTGCCTCTGCTGTCTTTAGCACGTTTCCTCACATTATCTTTTTGCTCAAATGCTCCAGTGAGCTAATCAAAGGTACACACACCCAACTCAACAGGACAAATTCATTGATAGGAGGACCTTTGACTCTACAGACAGGCTTCTGACTTCACAATGCATACGCAGGACACATGATTAGTAAAAACGGGGATCTTTTCAGCTGCTTATTGATGAGAGCAAAGCTTAAAAGGATTAAAAACATTTCTTAAACATTTCTTACAAATATATTTAATGCTTAGTGAAATTCTAACAAACTGAAGGAAATAAAGGACTTTATTTTACTAAGATGATCAGTGGGGAATAATAAACATTTTATCTAATTGCATCACTTCTTCACCTAATCAGCACAAATGGTGAAAGCCACTTCCTAAACCCATTACCAACACGTTTTACCTGATTGAGATGATACAATTAGAAGAAAACAAGCAATCATAAAAGAAAAGAGGCAGTTTGGTTTTAATCAGTGAGCGAAGATGATCAAGAACACATTCTGCAACCATCAGTACACCCGTGAGAACAAAGAGCATCGTGGTGTTTGATCACGTCAAAAGAAAACTGCTTTTGCATTTTTTTCTAAGAAAAATCAAATCTTTGAACAAGATTGGGACTTGATGTGACTTTTTAAGTACTTTGTGAGTGTTGGAGACCCTTTTATCAACATGAGCATCCTCCTCCAAAAGCTCTCAGTAATTCTGATGAGGATAATTTAATTAAACGTAATAGTCCTGAATGTCTTCCACGGAGGGCAACATTTCTCAAAACATCAAACCATGTTCAATTTGAGTGTTTTTTTTTTAAATTTTGGACTACATATGTTCTTACTTAAACATTAAATTACAAAAGAGTTATACCAATACGTCTCTGTCCCTCTGCACACTCAGAATGTCCCACTTAGTCTCTCAACCTCGCCTGTTCTCTAGTTATGGTGTTTGTAAGCATCATATTACAACTAAACACACACTGTACAAAATGATATGTTGAAATTATTTTTACCAGGTGATGTCAGCTGGTTCCACCACACCTAGATGCTTAAATATAAATACTTATATTAGTATTTGTTGGTGCGTCGAAAGTAAAAGTAGGTTTAGTGGAACCAGCCGACATTCAACATTTCATTTGTTAGAGTGTAGAGGATTCATTTGTTTTTGAACATGTAGCAGCAAGGTAAGAACTCTTAATCACCCGAGGTGAACACCTGCTAAATGAGGTGTGTATTATTAACGTTCAGGTAGGAAAATGTACCACACTTGTTCTAATTTCTACATTTCCATTCCTGGGTCAGTGGTTCCCAAAGCTGAGCCACCAGCCCACTGTGGGTCACCAAGAACTGCACAGAGGGTCTTGAGATGATTTCTAGAAATCGAAATTAAACTGAAAACCAATTTCTGTGTTTATAGCGTAGTCGCTACAAAAGCGTATCAAGTTTGTCATAACTGGATATAAGTGAATAGGAGCTGAAGTAGTTTGGTGAATTCATTTAGGTTTTTCTGCATGTTTGTGTTGTCAAATCCCAGATGTCTGGGGTTGTATGGTTTGACAAATGCTATTTTGTGGGTCTGAAAAGTACGGGAACCACTGATCTAGGTTGTTTTAACTGTATATGTAGATACTGGTAACCAGTCATGCCCTAAAAACAAATGTTCATGGGGCCAATGGAAATTTTGGGGTGGCACCCCTGTGGTCAGGGGCACAACTACCTACTTTTGGAGGGGGGGCCAGACACATAATAGGCGAACCTGCAAAACCACGTGCCTCAATTTAAGGAACAAAGCATAATCCAGCTGCTGTTATGTATTTGTTGTTGGTATTTATAGAAACTTAATATATCTGCAGGGCTTTGGGCCCGGGGCAGTTTTAAACCTCAGACCGACCCACTTTAGATCATGACCTGTGATTGATAATATCATGTGTTCTTTACGCCAATCAGAAAATTCTGTTCATAAAAGCAGAGCGGCACTTAATCTCTGACGTGCTTCTCTGTTATTAGTCATGTCATGTGCAGATGCAAAAACGGACAAAAACGCAGCTGTTATTAAACGCAGGAAATGCAGACTACAAATATTTTTGTGTCACATGCACTGCATACCTACTTTTTGCGCCACTGCCAGTGGTAACTCTGAGTTTAGCCTGTAGCTGTGCATTGTACTTTCAGTCATTGTCCATCTATTTTCTTTTCCCGCTTATCCACGCAGGGTTGCAAGGGGCTGGTGCCTATCTCCAGCAATCTCTTGGAAAGCAGGCGGGGTACACCCTGGACAGGCCAGTCCATCGCAGGGCGACACAGAGACACACAGGACAAACAATCAAGCACACACACCTAAGGACAATTTTAGAGAAACCAATCAACCTGACAGTCATGTTTTTGGATTGTGGGAGGAAGATGGTGTACCCAGATAGAACCCACAGGGAGAACATGCAAAATCCATTCAGAAAGACCCCAGGCCAGGATTTGAATCTCCTTTCTGCAAGGCAACAGCTCCTACCACTGCACCAGTGTGCCGCCCGTTATTTCAGTTATTGTTTCAGATGTAATTGTTTTAGAATAAACATATCCACTAAATCTACAGGGATTTGTGCTTTTGGTGGTTTCCCTGGGGGACGATTGGGGCACTAACTCTTTACCTGGGGTGGGCATGGCCCCCTCTGGCCACATCTTAGGAGCACCACTGCTGGTGACACAGTGATGCTTTTTTAAAGACTCCAATAAAGACAGTGGCGTCTGTGCGTGTGCTGTGTGTCAGCAAAATACCACTGATATGTTTCCTGATGACTCGGCATGAGTGAGTGAGGGTGCCACTTCCTGTCTCACTCGCCCAAACGCATCAGGAGTTTTCCCTAAATGTAAAAGGAAATACTGCAGGAACCATATTCTGTGTGGCAAAAGCAGCTGGTGTACAGTCAGGATATGTGAGCAGTCGCTCAGGCGGATGTGACGTTTTCTGTGAAATCCCAGGAGATGCTATTAGAGTAAAAGGGTTTCTTAGTCTTGCCAGAGCCCAGCCTCTGTACTGGTGTCCTTGAACAAAAACAACCAATCCCTCCCAACAATAGCCGTGTCTCTATTTTATTAGAAAAAAAATCTGATAAATATATTAAAGAGTTAGCATCGTAAATGTGTTTTCCTGCACTGAAATCAAATACTATTTGACCACAATGAGGAAATAGCTTTATTCTTTTACAGGATAAGTGGATGATAAACCATCCTCGAGGTAAAGTTGGACCAAAACAACTTGAAGAGAACCCTGTGAGGAGCCTGCACCCTCTGCAATGCTCTGCAGCATGAATCAAAGTTGTGACGTCTGTCTGCAAAGAGCTAAATTTAGATTCAGGCTTCTGCTCCCTCTTGAATAATAAATGGAAGTCTGCACATGCTGTGACGACATATAGAGACGGGGAGCTGGAAGAAGCGTGTTTTCTGTGGTTTGAAGGCTGAGTGCAGGGGAGGAACAGCTGATGTTTGATGGGAGGAAACTTAAAGAAGAAGGGAGGGTCCTGCAGCTGAAGGAGGAAAAGCAAAGGCAGACATGGGGCGGTGCTATGATCACATGAAGGACAGAGTATATGTACCCAGCCATAGGTTGTCTTATTAGAAGACTTGATGTCTCTGTAGTCCACAGCTGCTCCACGCTTTCTGGTTGTGGATAAAGGAGATGCCTGGAAACCTGTGAGCGCTTTTTATTTCTTTTTTGTTTGTTTCCTTGTTGCACCTGAAGCCCAAATAAAAGCTCTTGTCCCAGGATTTAACTGGAATATGCGCCTTTTTTGCTCTAAGAGACAATCTGCTGCAGACACAAAGATAGAAAGAACCACATGCGCTGTTTCGCCTCTTTCAGTTAATGTTTTCATCGTATTATTATAATAAATAGTAACGAGTCGTTCTCAGAAGTTGTTGCAGCAGCAATCATCAGCTAAGCACTTTTTAGCGGACATTGCCCTGTTGCACCTTTCTGTTTTTGCCCATAACCTTTTGGCGCACGAGCTGCGAGGAGCGCACGGCCAGCACCGGGTGCTGCGAGGAACAAACGCAACTTTTAAACAGTTTCATCAAAATGACGGACGGACCGAGACAACGGAGCAGCACGACGGGGTCTGCCAAGGATGCTGCCGGTGAGAAGGAGTCTGGAGGAGTCGCGCTCAAGAAGGAGATCGGACTTGTGAGCGCGTGCGGGATTATAGTTGGTGAGTTAAGCTTTCTCTTTTTATGATGTTTGTTTTATTTGTTTATTTCTTTGGCTCTTCAGATTTTATCTGGAGCGAAATTCTGAAATCGCAGCTGGGCTCTTATGTTAGAATTTGAACTAAAACGTTTTATTGTAACTAAATTAAGAGCTATATGCAGGTTCTAATATATAAATAAGATGAATACAATACGAAAAAGGCATAAAATAAATAATAGTCCAATGCAAGGCACTGCAGTGTGTAGAAATGAGCTGGACCTGTGTGAGGTTAGCTCTAAAATGTTGATGGTTTGTCTGTAAGTTAGGAGCTTCTTTTCCTGGATGTAACCGAACCTTTCTTCTTATCAGCACATAACCATGACCAAATAAGAAGCTGACTCCTCTGTGCGCAGAGGATTTTCTTCTCAAGTGGCTCACATGTCTGGAGATAAATGGCAGAGAGGGCCGATACCGATTTCCGATTTTTGCACAAGCGATGACCTGTTGGTACTGATTTTCTGAAATGTTTCCAATAAATAAAATAAAAACACTAATCTTTTAAAATTCTGATGCACTTGATGCTAGTAAAACAAAATGTTGGAGTTGCTGCATTCACACAACCCTAAAAAAAATCTGATGTTTGGGTGGTTCGATTGGCCAATCAAATATTAGGCCAAGCAGGCAGCTTGTTGACCAATTCGGCCCACCCGCTGATACTTTTGGATGATTTGCTCTAAAACATGTGATGGTTTCTCTTTTAGCTGCTGATTTTGATTAAAAGCACACCTTTCAAATGTGTTCCTCTATCAGGAGTGAGCTCACATCGTGCCACTCAGAAGCTATCATAAACAAAAGTTAGATCTAGTCGTGTCTCAGCGTTAGATTGATTGGCATTGTTTAAATGTGATACCCTTACCATTTCAACACTTATTCATGATCAATCAACCTCACGGTCGATGTTTAAAGGTGAAGACACTCAGATTGAGCCGCTTGGTGGAACAAAAACTAGATTACAAACAAATAAAGATGACTTAATCAGACTGATCAATAGAAACTCAGAGGTGAAGCATGCTGCGTGTTGTCCAGATGGAGAGGGATTCGGTCCTCTGGTTGACCTCTGATGAACAGAGATGAGGTGACTCATTCATGTGTTTCCAAGGCAACGGGGAGAACAGCGGTGAGAAAAGGTGAAAAGGAGAGAGGCAGAGTGAGATGATGTGTGAAGCCGGTTCCTGGTTGTTTGTCTCACAAGTGGATCGTTCCCACGTGCCACGGCCTGCAGCACTGGGATAATGTGAATTTCAGTTGGTGGCATGTCGCTTTCAGGACGTTGTGCTCCTTCTAAGCACGTTCATTATTATGATTAAATGCTTTTTAGAAGCTGTTTTGGTAAAATATGTCAGAGTTTTTCAGATTATCTTTGACAAATTTATGATGAACTTGTGCGCGGTGAAAACAGGACAGGTCTTCTTCTGGCGACTTTGGCATGAAGGTCATTTTTGTGCAGCTGGAGCTCCACAACAGTCATGTTAGACTTGCCACTTTTCTTTTTACTTTAATGAACGATAATTGAGTTCTACAGAAATATGGATTTATAATTTAGGCATCGGATTTAATATCTTGTTGATTTGCGAGCACGTTGTGGAGTCCGAAAAAAAGCGGAATACAAAGAGTTGAATTATTTTTCATTGTATGACTTAAAGCATAAAGTTATATTAATTCATCAAAAACAGTTGGCAACACTGATAATATGACAAAGTTGTTATTGCTAGCTCACTGATGCTATTTCTAGTTTCAAATAACTCTATAGTTCTATTTTAAAAGCTAATAAATTTCAGATGTAGGTGATGTAAATGTTTTTTACAGTAAAGTTTTTCAGATTGGAGTTAAGATGACACCAGCCCACTTGTTTTGTTTTGGCCCCGCCCCGGCTAGCTAGCTGTTAGCTCATTCAGAATCATTCTTTATTTCACCAAACGAAGGCTGTTTAAAGAGATACTTATGACAGGTAAAATATTGATTGTTCATCACATTTCCACATCAAAAGATTAAAGACCATAAAAGATAAAAGAAGCTCTACTTATTGTGAGTTAAAGTAAGTTTACTGACAATGTTCTGCATTTCATCTGAGGTCTTTGCCAAAGCCCACTTAAAACGGTTTTCACTATAGCTCCACCCTCTCTGTCTTATCAGCTATTTAGATAATCAGATCATTTCACTCTCCCTTCATAGTTAATAAGAAACAAAGACTTTTACAGTCGACCAGAGTCCTCATCAGCGCCTCCTCGGCGGAGCTCTTGTCTCGTCCTTGATCAGGTAACTCATTCATGCTTGTTCCGATCACACTGTCACGTGTGAGACAGTGAGCTCAGGTGACCCGGCTGATCCTGTTGGCTGTGAACATGCCCCCACTACGTTTCCATGAAAACAGTCAAGAACACGATGACTTCAAAGGCTTTTATGGCCTGTTGTACAGTGCACAATTTCGTCACCCACACATAACTCCAGGAACGCGGAGAGCTGTGATTTTGGATTAGAAGTAAACTTTTGGCTACCATAAGCAGGTCTCCGCCCTGATAATGCTGTTTTATTAGCTTGCCGTACTTAGTTTGAGCTGAGATTAATTCTTGTTTGGGAATGGAGCTACTTTTTAAACAAAATCTAAGTTAAAAATAGAATTTCATTAAACAAAAAGCTGTTTTTTAGACAGTTTTTTTATGCTAATCCTTTATGATTGTTTAGATTTACAGCCTCGGTGCATAAACTCAACTTGTAATAAAACTTTATGAGTTTTTTTAGCTTAACAAGTTGTATCTGTATATAGATGTCTACTTTTGTGCTTATATATAAAATTTTAACATGCAAACCAGCAACAAATGTCAGGAAGGATGCTCCTGAATACAATCTCATAATAAATTCACATCAGTCAGTTGGTTTGTTCTTGTCTTCATGTGTTCTAATCTGATAAAGTGGCATGAATTATTAATTGAAAAACTCTAATCTTGATCATTTTATCAGTCGTGCACAAACATTTGCACAAAAAATTCAGATTCAGAAACTGTAGGCCTGTTGATGAAGTTTAAGAGGAACAGAAACGTTCTCTCTTATGAAATTCACTTCAGTGATAAAAAGAGGATATTAAAAAATGCTGAGCAAAAACAAACCTTCTGAGATTTGAACGAAGAGGAAAATTTAAAAGACTCTGATTGTTCATAAATCCAACTTTTGTGACTTGTGTTTCTGTCTCTTTTTTTTTAAATCCACTGTTTCTAAAACCTGATGCAGCTTGCTGGTGATCTTTCGCTGTGATCCAGAAACAAGCTGCAGTTTGGCAACATTTTCAGCGAAAGAGATTTTTAAAAAAGCATCCCAGAGACAAGTGGAAAGAACAGGAAACGTGAAAAATTCCCTAATAGTCAGCAGTCTTCTCATAGCATGAATGCACAATGTGCACGTTTCATTACCTCTAAATAAAATCTCAGTTGGCACTCGAATTTAAAAAAAAATCTGTTGCTTTTTAACATTAGTAAACTTTGCCAAAGTTTGTGTTGCAGAATCACATCAGGAAAAACAAAAACCTCGTTTAACATGTTGGTGCTATTTTTTCTACAAAGGTCAAAGGTCATGCACTGTAGCCCCTTACTGCTATAAAGATGTCAGGAATCAAGGGAGGGGAGATTTTTTTTCTTTACTTTCACACCTTTCACCTACAGCTAGAGGTACATGTAGTTTGCAGGGAATTCATTTGTTATTTCAGATTTGTTATTTAAAATATTTTCAATAACTACGATACTGGGGTACATACAAACGGACAAGATGTATTCACCTACACTGTGCTGCATTTATGGATCTAGACGTCTGTGTACTCTGGATGTTGGACTGAGCGTCCCACCATGGCGTGTTACCTGCAGATAAACATCAAAGAACAATTAAAAGGAGACATGGCAGTTTTGGCTTGCTTTTAGCACCCCCTAGTGTCCGTTTAGTAGAACCAAAAGCAAAAATTTTCTCTTTGCTGTGAGTTTGTCTTTTTAACACCTTACTCTAACTGCGTAAATGTCTCCCCAGCCTTCATTAGTCTCTAGAGGAGTGATTCATTGTTAAATCAAACAAATTAGCTGTGTTCATGATCTAAAACACGCAGGAAGCAGACTGCAGCACCAGGTATGTCAGCTTCATTTTTTCTCAAGTCCGACAGGGACTGGACCGGCACTCTGAAGTTGCAAGTGTGGTATTCTGGCCACAGAGGGCGATCAGTGTCTTAGTGACATTTCATTAACCCTGTAAAGGATCATATATATATATATATATATATATATATATATATATATGTCGATGTTTAGCACTTACAAGATCAAGTAAATTCTTTAAAAATATGAAAAATGTGCATAGTATCCTTTAATATTAGAACATGCTGCAGCACGGTAAGATCTTTCTGAATCAAATGAAATGACTTTCAGCTCATCATTCTCTGTGTCAGGAATCTGTTTTATTTACAAAAATGAGGTGGGACTTAAGATAAATGATGAACAGCATCCAGCCACTAGGGGGCTCTCTTGTGTTTAGAGTTCAACTTTCACTTCAATTTCTTGTTTTTTTTTTTTTTACATGGGCTGTTTCTCAATACCAATGTAGGCTAGTACTTTCTTGCATACTTGACAAGTAGTTCTTGGCAAGTACGCCAGAAAGTCCGTTCTGGTGAATGCAGGGGAACAAGGACGGCCTTTGGAACAGAACCGTACTCCGTTACGTCATGGCAACGAGCGCTGCTTTATGCTATGGGTTGTCTACTTTTTAATGTGATGTTTTTTCTTTTATAAATTTTTCTTAAAAATTGGGTTTGGGTTAGGGCTACCATTAAATGCCCGCTGTTAAATAAAGTTATTTTTAATCAGGACAGATCTTTGTAAGGCAACGCTTGTCATGTTCTGGGGGAGGTGTCTAACCCAAGACATGCAGAATCAAACCCGAACACAGATGGATGGAAAAAAATAATTGATTTTGGAAGAACAATTACTAAAG